TTTTTTTTGTTTCGCCCATTACCTACTCTTCTCCCTTCATTAATGCTAAATGCCATTCCTGTCATTGTTCTTCACTACCCATATCTTCTGTGTCACGCTTATTTTCACTAATTGTTTGATTTGTCACATCATTGGTGTCATCAGGGCTTTGATTGGGCGCAATACTGTCGCTATTTTCTTCTACAGGTGGTGTGGATCGAGGCAAACTCTCTTGTGCTAGAACTGGTCGCTGGTGTGGATTGTAGTGATGATGATGATGAAAGTGATGATGATGATGTCTTTGCGTGCCTCTAACGAATCCACCTTGCCAACGACCACTTTGTGTTGCGGCTGGTTGAGTTGCATTGTTCCAACCATTCTCTCCACCATCCCCACGTCCGTACGGCATGGGCTGTTGGAACTTTCGCTGCTGCTGCTGCTGCTGCTGATGCTGATGATGGAATGCGGCTCCTGCTGCCGGTGGAGCATGAGCGAATCTGTTCCCTGTGTGAAACGGCGGTCCTCTGCCGGTGTAGTCATCCGCAGTTTGTGATCGTGTGGGTGCGTAACTCGGTGCGGGTGGCTGAGAGGCGTAGTGAGGTACATTATTCATCATTGCAGGTGCATGTGGTCTACCGCCTCCCTCAGGAGGAGCCATCATTGGTGGATCGTAGGGTGAACATACATGGGGTTGAGAAGGATAGCTTGATCCACCAGACTGCGGACCATAGTTATTATTCCACTGTCTATTTCCCTGATATTGATCATATCCGTGCTTCTCTGGGTAGTTCATACTCTGGGGTACCGGCAGTACGGGTTGTTGATACTGATTCTGTGGTCTTCCACCACCAAAAGAATTATTATTGTTGTTATCATAATAACCATAGGCCGGTGGTACTGAATGTGCTCCTGATGAATCATCCGCGTATCGAGAGTGTGGACGTCTTTGTCCTGAGAATCCAACACCGTAGGGTGCTGCCACTGCGGTGGGACCTATTCTTGCTGGGGTTGGCTGCGGCGTCGACAAGTACCGTGAGTAACCACTTTCACTACCAGAAGGATACGGCGACGGTACTGGATGTGGGGTAGAGTGTTGACTGGAGTTTGTGTGCGATGCTGGGTACCTTGCGGGAGGCATTCCTCCACCTCCTCCTGTTGCTATTGGATATGGTTGTCCTTGCCCTGCAGACCACTGTAATTGTTGTTGTTGTTGTGATGGTAGTGGTGGTGCAGGAGCGAACTGTGGGCCGCTGTTGTTGTTGTTGTCGTTGTACGATTCCATCATTGGAGTGTTACCAGCACCCTTGCCACCATAATAACGCTGATTTCTCTGTGATTGTCCGTAGTTGTTAGAATCACCATAGTAGTATCGGGAATCATACTCTCCAGACCAGTTCTGAGGGTCTTGTTGAGAAGGATAATATGAAAATGGAATTTGTTGTTGTTGTGGTGGTGATGGTGGTGGTGGTTGTGATTGTTGTTGTCGTTGATGTGGTTGTTGTTGTTGTGGTTGTTGTTGTTGAAATGGCACATTCTGCTGTGGTGTGGGATAGTTAGGTTGGTTTACTTGTTGTGTTGACATTGGATAGTATCCCTGATTTGGATAATAGTTATTATACCCATCGCGTTCCGCATCTCCGGGGTAACTTCCCTCACCTTTATACATCTGATTCTGTTGGTTAGGAGGATACGAAGGATATTGTTGCTGATGAACGGCTCTCGGGTTTTTCCCGTATCCCTGAGATTCGTTTTCTAGTCCATATGTCATATTATGATGAGACATTGAATGTGCGGTCATATCAGATGATGGTTGTTGTTGTTGTTGTTGTTGTGGTTGCGGTGGTGTTATTTGGTGTATCTGATGATGATAGTGATGATGATGATGATGATGATGTCTGGGAAGAACCATCGTTTGAGTTCCACTCCTAGACAAACCGTGATCTGAAAAGTGTCCCGACTCCTCTGCAGCCACACTCTTCTTCTCCGTATTTGCATCCACTGTAGGAGAGACAAGTGCCCCACTAAAGTACGGTGAGTTTGTCCACGTCTTTCCACCAGAGATTGGTGTTGGGGCGTGTGGGGCCTCCAGAGCCGCATGCATGGAATTGTTATTTGAACTAAACGTGCCTTCCCGCGTTTTATTATTATTATTATTATTATTATTATTATTATTATTATTATTATTATTATTATTACTATTATTATTCTCCTCTTCATCCGTTACAGATCCCATACGTAGTGATTGGGATTGTTGTAATTGGAATTGAGATGATTGTTGTTTTTGTTGATCATATGTTGACCCGCTGTGGAGGACTTCGTGAGTTGTGGTGTTTGGCGACTGCCGCACTTTTGTGATGACATTCACCGGCAGGGATTCTTCGGCAGACGTGTCGGACTGCAGTGTGGAGGCCATAAATAAATTTACAGTGTTGATATACTCTGTTCGTTTCGGTTCCAGTTCCTCTTTTTCTTCTTCTTCTTGTTGTTGTTATTATTATTGGTTAATAATGCTGGTAATGCGCTTTTCTATCTATTCCTCTTCTTCTTTCTTTTTTCTTTTTTTTTTTCTTCTTCTTCAAGTTGTTGTTGTGATGGTGGTATTTCGTTTTATACCCCTTAACTTTTTTTTTACTTTTTATTTCTCTTTCACACAGACACACAAACTCTCTCTCTCTCTCACTTTCTCCCTCTTTATTTATTTATATAAATATAAATATAAAGAAAGAAAGAGAGAAATAGAAATATTCCCCCTTTTTCACTTTCTGTCTTCTCCAAATCCTTGCACCAAAGCACAGCGCTGTATATTTTTTGATTTTTTTTTTTTATTCTATTCTTCTTTCTTTTCCTTTCCGTTATGTTCTTCTGGAGGAAGGAAGGACAAAGAAAAGAACAGACGGGGGTGCTGAAATGAAAGAAAAAAATAAAATAAAAAAAAAACTAATATAAAAAGCAAAAGAAATAATAAAAAGAAATAAAATCCTACAAATTTTGTGCTGTAATTCGTGTAAAGAAGAGAACAAAAAAAAAAAAAAAAAGAAAGAGATAGAAGAATAAATAAAAGAAAACTAACACAAATGAATATATATATATATATATATATATATATATATATATATATTCATAAAGAATAATATAGATGCAATCTCTTTTTTTTTTGTGCATTCTTTTTTTTTTCTTTCATTCTTCTTCGTTATACTTTCAATATATTGTCATGTATACAGAGACCTTCTTCTTCTTTCTTTTTATTCTTCTCTCTTCCCTCTTCCACTCATTTTGTATATTTTGCTCTTCTTTACACCATCGCCACTAACAACAGCGGTGGATCGCCGCTTTGCCCGGTTTTTGTGTTTAGCCACCGTCGCTGCTAACACCATTCGCTGCGCACTCCGCACACGTTCCACCGCTGCGGCCCGCACACATCTCTCAAGTTCTTCCGCACGTCTTAACATCCGCTGCAGGGCATCATTCTCCACCATACTCTGCAGTGAAGCTATGGATGTTGATGTTGTTGCTGTTGTTGTTGATGTGTTCGATGTTAAGATGTGATGTTTGGCGATGGGCGTGTATTGCCGCAGTGTGCCATCGCAGACCATTACAATACACTCCGACAACTCCACAAGTTCTTTCATGCATTGACGGAATTGATGTTCATGGCGGCGCAGCACAAGTGCCTCTGTTTGCAGAAACATTGGAAGTTCAGCTATGCGGGATTTGATATCATCTTGCGATTGTGTAGTAGTAGTAGTTGTTGTTGTTGTTGTGTTATTGTTGTTTTCATTCTTCTTCTTCTTATCTGTTTCTTTGTTCTCTTCGTACATATTCATAACGGCCTCAATTTCCTCTCGGCTTAATAGTGTGGTCTTCTCTAGACACCATCGTGGAATGTCTTTGCACACATCCTCCATGTCTACACCATGTGAGTCATCACTTCCCATCTCAATAACACCGTATACACTAAATAAATAACCAAATAAAATAAATAAATAAATAATAATTATTATTATTAGAATAATAACAACAACAATAATAATAATAATAATAATAATAATAATAATTCAATCGTAATAGTGTACACGTGAAATGTGACGCGTGTACCGCTTTCTTTTATTTTTATTTTTTCTCTCGGCACACTATCTGAAGGAACAGTAAAGAAAAAGAAGAAAATAAGAGACGGTTTAAATGAGTCTTCTCTTCTTTTTTTTCTCTCTCTTTCCTTCTTTTTCTTCTTTAGCTCCTGCTATAAAAGTAAAGAAAAGAAAATAAAAAGAATCCAAATAAGAAGAACAACCAACAGGAATGAAACAATGATAATAATAACAGTAATAATAACAATAATAAAAAGAAACCAGAAACAGTAAATGGAATAGCAGTAAGAACACATAAATACTTTTTTTTTTTTCTTCTTTTTCATCACTCCATAAATTCACAAATATACCAAATAATACTCGTTCCATATCACTCTCTCTCTCTCTCTATACATCGTTTTTCCTTTTTTGTTTTTTGTTTTGTTTTCTTCTTTTCTCTTTTCTTTTCGTTCGTTTTGTTTCTTCACATCACTTGCGGTATTTATCCAAATCCTCTGTGTGGCTTTCCTTCTGCAGTAGGGCGATACTTTCTCTGTAGGCGTTGGAGGATTGTTGTTGTCGTGCCTCCATGCGGGCCCGGCGGTGTGAGACGAGGGCGTGTCGTGTGCGCATCACATTCTCCACATCTTCCCACGCACTTCCCACGAGTTGTTGCAGTCGTGCCTGATCGGTGTGAAGAGCAAAGTGAATATCTTCATAGAGACGAGACTTCGTATCCCGTTCTTGCTGGAGTGCGGGTGGTAATATCGCACGGACATCTCTATCATGACTTTCACTCTTTCTCTTACCGTAGGGTTCTCTACTACTACTACTACTACTACTACTACTACTATTATTATTATTATTATTATTATTATTATTATTATTATTATTATTATTATTGTGATTACTAGTACCACTACTTCCTGTGTTCTTATCGTCCGTATTCCATGTGGTGTCTTCTGTGTCTATCTGATCCGAGGCGTGATGTTCGGCAATGCGGCGAATACTACTGGATCGATGTTGGAATTGTTGACAGAGTCGCTCAGTGATGGCGGCGTGTTCATCTCGTAATTGGGCGAGTGCAGGTGGGAGCGATGATGAGAGAGAATTAGCGGATGTTGTTTTACTTAACTCCACAGACTGCGCGAGACGAGAACGGAGAATACTGTTAGCATTGGGATTATTGCGTTGACTATGGTTACTTTCCTCACGCTTAAGTTGAGGTATGGATAACGTCATTTCTTCTTCTTCCTCTTCTTCTTCTTCTTCTTCACTTGTAGATGAGGATGAGGAATGACACGGCTCATCATCCAAGATTTCTAATTGCGGACAACACTCTATAATGCGGCGTCTATACGTCTCTCGCGTCTCAACCGTACTCGTAGTAGTATTAACAGCAGTGGTATTATTATTATTATTATTATTATTATTATTATTATTATTATTATTATTATTATTATTATTATTTGTAGTAGTAGTAGTACTATCAACAGCAGTAACAAATACAGTCGTATTAGTAGTATTAGTAGTAGTATTCGCATTCGTCTTACTATCAACATCAGCCGTAGTAGCAGCAGGAACACAGGGATTCCCAAGAAGTGCAAGATATCGCAGTGACTCTGTTGGAAGATCCTGCGATGGATCTATTACAGCAATCGCATTAAATCGTGCATCTACAAATGTCAATGCGGGCATCTCCGCCAGTGGCCGAAGTGTGTGAATCTTATTATGATGAACAACGAGCACGGAGAGTTGCTGCAATAGTGTAATTCCCTCCAGCGTGGTGATCGCATTATGCTCCATGTAAAGATGTGTGAGATTGAGAAAACACTCCACGGCGGTGGTATTCCGCAGTCCACGTCCATCCACGTGCAGTTGTGTTGTGCCCAACACCGCATCTGCCATACTATCTGTGCCGCCCACTCGCCCCTCACGTGGGAGAAGTTGTTGTAATGTACACATAGAGCCACCACTAACACTATTAATACTGCGGCGTCGTGTTTGTTGTGTGTGGTTTCTATTTGTTGCATTGTGAAGAAGGGCGGTGATCTGCGGTGGTGGCTCGACTTCATCCGGGAGATCTATACGACTTAACGCCTCAATCTCAGCGGGTGTAAACTCGGAGATATCATGCCGCAATAGAATCACCTTATCACTATCATCTTCCTCACTACCATTACTATTACTCTTACTGTTGTTATTAGTATGAGTATGAGTGTGTTTGTGGTCACTAGCGGCCCTAGATCCAAATATGGCGGTGTACATTAAATATACACACACAGAGAGAGATATAGATAGATAGAGAAAGTGTGTGTGTATGTGTTTTTTTTTTTTTTTTCCCCTTCTTTTATATTTTTTCCATACAGCAACAGACCTCGTTGTTTAGATACCTAATACCATATCCAACAACGACCCCTAAAACAATAAAAAGAGAATAAAAGAGAAGAAAATAGATTTAAAAAAAAGAAAAAAAAAACTATCATCATCATCATCATCATCATAATAGGAACAACCATACCACAGCTGTAAGATTACATAAAAAGAAGAAATTAAATTAAATTAAGTGTTAATATTAATGCATCTACTTTTTTGTTCGTTTTTTTTTTTCTTGTTTAATATGTGCGAAGAATAATAAAAGGTTCATCTCCACGAAACCTTTTAAGGGGAGAAACCCCCAATTAATAATTAATAATTAAAAAAAAAAAAGTACTTTGGCTTTTACTTGATGGATCATACGATCCTTTCAAACTCCAATATTTCCCATTAATTTTTTTTTTTTTTTAAACAGAATCAACGTACCTACATAAAATAAAATAAACAAAAAAAAAAAAAAAAAAAAAAAAACAAGAATATATTCCACTCATCCATATGCACTATTATCTCATTAGTGTACCTGATAACAGATACATACAAAAAGCAGGGATGATATAAAAGGAAAATGATAACAATTCAACAAAACAAAACAGTAACTCTTCTCTTTATGTTTTTCTCCCCTTTTGACACTTCCACTAATTCTTTGCATTTCAGAGATTTTTTTTTTTTATTCTTCTATTTACCCAACAAATAAGAAGTACTAGTAGAATGCAGCACGTGTCTACATTACATTTTACTCTTTTCTTTTTTCTTTCTTTTTTAATCTTAACGGTATCTATCCCCTTCTCTCTTTCTCTCTCTCTATCCACACATATCTCTATTCACTCAATGGGTCTGAGTACACAAGCGAGAAAAGAGAACCGCCCACATTTCACTCATTTCCGTAAATGTCCCCTCCAGAGAACAGAGAAAGGGAGAGAAAGAAAGAGAGAGAAGCGGAAAATAAAAGAAAAGAAAGAGGGATCATACAAAAGAAAATTGGAACCCGTCAGGAAGTCAATTAAGAAAAGTACACACCTATGAAAATAAAAAGTAAAAATAAATATGCTGTGATATTCAGAAAAACGGAAAAAATGAAAAAAAGAAAAACAAAAAAACAAAAAAAAAAACACTGTAAATGGGGAATAAGATAGTTAACACCAAAAAAAAAAAAAAAAA